ATTTGCTTTTGCATAACCTGCGTACTATTTGCAAACTGCTCCGTTAATTGTTTCATTTGTTGGAGTAACTGATCCATTTGCCCTTTCAGCGGATTCACAGCCTCAGAAATCATATTTTGCATTTCTTTGGAGGCAGTTCCTGTTAACTTCCCCACTGTAACATTACTCCCTGGTGATAATTGTGGAGTTTTGGTCTGCTTTGTTTTAATTTGAGACATTTTTGCCACTTTCCTCTGAGATTAATACAAGTTAGTCAGCTCTTTTTAAGTTCTTATTTAGCTTTGCCTCAAATTTGGCTTTTTTCCCCGGAACAATAATCTCTTTATTTTGACTTGTTTAAGATTATCACTGTCTCTTGCCTGCCAACATTCTTTTTGGCTTCACGCCTAGATTTTTGTTATTGTTTACTGTCCATTCAAGGTCACTTCCCAGTTCCTTTAGATGTGATCTCACTCCTCTATTAACCAGGGGGGAGGGTGATCTTCCCCCTTTACACATCTCCAATAGTCTTACAATAGATTATACTTTCGCCTGTTGCACCCCCTTCCAAATCTTTTCTTCTGCCAATCCCCCCTATCAAGCCCAAAAAAATTATAAGGGTTCTCCTGCCCCCCTCCCGTTGGAGAGAACAATTGCTAGCGATGCAAAATAGCTATAGGGTGGGGGTGGCTGTTTCCCACACTCTCCTCTGTGGGAACCTTCTCTTTTTTCTTTTAAGTCTCTTTAAATCCACAATAGATCGTTTACTTCATATTGCATTTAATTCCAAAGCATCTTATGCTGTCACAATCACAGTCTTTATTTACTGATATTCCATTAGCTTGTTGGTATTTCACCCCTTTTCCCCACCACTCTGCCAAAACCATGGGATTGATTGGAATATCCTCCCTGCCATTATTGGCTGATTGAGTAGTATCGGGGAGAGGAATTCCAGTCTTTTAGGGGTTAACAATCATGACAGTCTTTTTCTTGCGAACACAGAAAAGTTTTCACTTGACTCACAGTTATACGCTTATATTTTCAATTGCTTATCTTCCTCCTGGCTTCTCCACAGTAGCAACAGCTCCTGCCCACTGTGGTGAGCTTCTCTTCCTCAGCTTGCTTCAGAGCGAGTTTGGGGTCTCCTAACGGGTTGCCTCCCTCGTTAGGACCCCTAACTCAAGCTCCTTGCTCCCTGCTACCCCTCCCCCTGGGTGCAGGGTGGTCTTTGTTGATTCGGAGACCCCTTTAAACTGAAGAATCGATCAGTCGCTCGGGAGCTCCCCCGATGTGACTGCTAGTCACCGCGCTGCCCTGTTATCTCTCAATTCAATTCAATTCAAATACCTTTTATTGGCATACAATATTAAAAGCGTTTCCCAATAATACAATCCAAGAGAAATTATAAAATAGATAGTCGTGGCTATGTCAGGCCTAACTCAAGTTGTCACAAGTTAGATTTGACCATACAAAAGATACCTGAATCATAAAATAAACTGGCATTCCAAACTTTTAAACTTAAGTTTTTAAACTTATAAATTAAGAATCATTAATATGATCAGGGTTACTCTTCCGTTTTATAAAACAATGGAGAAACTTAGAGGTCAGTTCAATGATCTCCAGATCTCGTGAAGCAAGGAGAAATTGTACCTTGATTCTATCCGATTGGCCTGCTACCAACCTAAGGGGGGCTTCTATACACTCCACTCGGCCCTGTTATCTCTCACAGTGGGTGATATTTCATAGCACACTACAAAACAGAACCTCCATGCTTAGATGCAATCAATAGTCATTGATGGAACTTTCCTCCCCCAAGAATTTGACTAACCTCCTTTAGTCCAGCATCCCGTTTCACACAGTGGCCAACCAGTTCCTCTGGAGGTCTAACAACAGGGCACAGAGACCCTGAAGTTGCATCCTGGCTCTGGGATTCAGATGTTTCCTACCTCTGAACATGGAGGGTCTTCTTTAGTTACCAATATGACTATTGTTGGACCTCCAAAGCAACTGGTTGGTCCTTGTGTGATACAGGATGCTGGATTAGATGGACCACTGATCTGATCTAGCAGGGCTCTTCTGATGTTCACCTATCCTGTCCCACAGCTGCTCTGCAGGAGTGTCAGACAACATCCTCCTTCAGACTTTAATCCAAGACTAGTCATAACAGGGATTAAACCTGGATCCTTCTGCACCAAAAGCAGCAGCTTTACCACTTACCTATGAGCTATACCTAATTGTTGTATACAGATGACGACAAACTAGCATGAGAAGCACTGATCTAGTTTGCAACTTTTTTTTTGTAAAAAAAGGATTATCTGGGGTCAGATCTCTCCCCTGCAAACTGCCCAGTTCCCGCCTACCTGTTCCATGTGTTCAAACACCACAGAAGTGGCGATCGATGCTGGAGCTTCCTCGATGATCTTCTGGTGTCGGCGCTGCACTGAACAGTCTCGGCCGAAGAGGGAGATCGCGTTGCCATATTGGTCTGCAAGGATTTGAACCTCCAGGTGGCGAGACTGTTTGGCAAGGCGCATTACGAAGATAGGGGACCCTGGCACTTCTGCTTGCACCTGAGAGGCAAAGATGTCATGAGATATAAATCATGCATGCCATTCCCAGGATGGGTGCTCACATTCATCTCAGAGGTGGTTAAGCCACTGGGGTCTCCAACAGGTAGCTCGTGAGCTCCTGACTGCTCTCGCAGCTGCATGGTAGTTTGCATATCCCCCAGAAGACTCAGGAAAAGATGGCAAAAAGGTCTAATGTAGGGTTGTTGGGGGTTTCTTAAAGTCTTATTTCGCTGTATTTTTTCTTCTGTGCTGGTGAACTGATAGCTTCACGTCTGGTGCTCTTCCTAGCCCATGTTCTGTTTCTAGGACATAACAGACTTCATTAACATGCTGGGTACTCAGAAGTACCTCTCTTTTTTAAAAAAAGCTGGCAATCCCTGGGTTAAAGCTGCCGGAAAATTACTTAACCCCATTCACAACTATGCAGCAAGCTTCAGAAGAAAGAGGAGGAGGAGGAGGAGGAGGAGAAGAGGAAGAGGAAGAAGAGGAAGAGAAAGAGAAAGAAGAGAAAGAGAAAGAAGAAAAAGAGGAAAAAAAAGAGAAGGAGATTGGATTTATACCCCGCCCTTCACCTGAATTCTCAGAATGGCTTACAATCCCCTTTCCCTTCCCTTCCCCACAACAGATACCCCGTGAGGTAGGTGGGGCTGAGAGAGCTCTCTCGAGAACTGCTCTCTCGAGAACAGGCCTGAGAGAACTTGTGACTGACCCAAGGTCACACCAGCAGCTGTATGTGAAGGGGCAGGGAACCATACCTGGTTCTCCCAGATTAGAGTCCACGCTCTTAACCACTACACCAAACTGGCTCTCAAGATGAAAGATTTAACACTGTCCGAAAGAGGGGCTGGTCATTCCTCCAAGGTGCCTTCTGCCACTGCACAAGCATGTTCTGTCCATGTGCCCACCCAGCACATCAGACGATCCTTATCACTTGGGAAGGACCCAAAATGGAAACCCTGCCCCATCCCAGCACTGCCCCCAGCTGGCGATAATGGGAGCTGCGTGGTGGGATTCCTCCATACACTCCTCAAAGGGGCTGTCTTAGTCTACTGTAGCAAAATAAAACAGAAGTCCAGCGGCACCTCAAATACTAACAACATTTATGCCCGCATAAAACTTTTGTGAGTCACAGCTCACTTCTCCAGATGCTATGAATAGTTCCTTGCACAGGTCTAGTGCCTTACACGAAGAATCACACCTAAAAGCCTTGTGACGAGAGTCACACCAAGCTCCTCTTTCTGTTCCCAGCTGCCTCCTTTCCCGTCTCGCTATCTGTGATTTTCCCTATAAAAATGTGGCACAGGAGTTCCTCTTCATAGCATCTGAAGAAGTGAACTGTGACTCACAGAAGTTTTATGCTGGAATAAATGTCATTAGTGCCTAAAGTGCCGCCAGACTTCTGTTTTATTCTTCCATACAACCTAGATGTCTCGAAAGTATGAGAGGCCAAGAGTGGCCTGTTGTGTGTGTAGGGTTATGTTTTTAAACATAAAATGGACAAATAAAAAGGCTGGGCTTCATGAACATCTCCGCTTGCATGTTGAAATAAAAGCACATTTCTAGTCCTTGCAATAGCGTGTAGATTTCAGAAGCCAAAGAGATTAAAAAGCCTTACACAAACTCTCAAAAAGTCTCAGGATGGGAATCCAGCATCTGCTTTCCTGACACCTGCCACCCAGGATCTTTTAACCGGGAATGCCAGGGATTGAACCTTGGGCCTTCTGCATAACGCTGATACTTCATTGCAGAGATTCAGCCCCTCCTGCATGCGCCAGGTGGGTGCCAAGCTTGGTGGCTGCCAAGGGAAGCACTGATGGGCATCATAGTGCCACCGGGCACCATACTGGAGAACCCTGGTATACACACAGGCAAAGCCCCAAACTGCCGTTTCTTCTGCTCACGGAGGAAGAAGAGAATGACCTACTTGTCGGAAGAGGTTGGGGAAGTCATCGGCACTGTTCACTTTCCTGATTCCTTTTCCTCCTCCTCCTTCAGAGGCTTTGATCATGACCGGGTAGCCAACGTCTTCGGCTGCCTGAGCAGGGAAGGAGAGAATAAGAGTTGATAAATGCAGCAAACTGAAAGGCCTCAGCCAATTAGCAAGAGGAGTCTCCTGTGAGAAGCTGGAGCCTGGGACTGGCCCTCATTACGCTTCAGAGAAAACTGAAGAGGGGAGCCACCACCACCACCCCACCTCATACGATTACCTCATACGATTACTTTTCCCTCTCTGATTATCATCAGCACTGCCAAATTTAGTGGATGAAAGCATTACATGAATCAATTAAAGACCTACCTGATGATCAACTCAAAAGGGACCACCCATTCACCTGGCAAGCCATTTTCTTTTTAAAAACTGGATTTTTTAAATGCGAGTGCTTAGAAAAACAGCAGGGAGGCAGAGACCATCTCAGAAGATTCATCTACCTTTGTTCTCACCTCCAGAGAGCGGACCTCTTCTGAGACGATGCCTGCTGGGACGGTGACACTTGAGCCAGCTAACTCCCACCCCCACCACCTTAGGAGAGGCATCCCCCTTCATTCTCACAAAATGGCACCTCCAAGATGGCACCTGATACAACACACAGCCTTCCTCTTCCTTCAAAACTAATGCTCGATTCACATACGAACTGAGAACGCTGTTGTGAATCCATGGTTAACCGACCCAGATTTATTAAACAGGATTAGAGTCCTGGTTTAGGAGGTACATAAAAAAGACCAATACGCACACTGCTTTTTGGTAATTCAGTCTCAAAAAGGTATGATGTGTGATTGCTGGTTGCCCGGTCAGAGATCCATCAAATACAGTATACCTTTCTCTGGCTGGCAGTGGCTCTCCAGGGTCACAGGTAGAGAAGCGTGTTTCTCTAACACCTGCTGTTTAAGACCTATCCACCACATATTGCCAAGCTTTGAACCCTGGACCTTCTTTATTTGCTCTGCCACAAAAAAAGCAGCACTTTGAACTAAGCCCAGAAATTAGTTTCTTAACTAGCAGAGCTCCTCCAAAAATGGAACTCTATATAGACCCATGGGCAAAATAAAGCCCCAACCTCTTGAATTTATGGCCCACTGGGAGTTTCTCACCCTGCAGAATGCGTACATGGTTTTTGTGGACCAGCCAAGAGAAGCAGCCGGATGAACCTCCATCACTGAGGCATCTGCTTTAATGAAGATACATCCCAGAACCCTATCTGCAGTAAAGTTTCCAAAACTTCTTGGAGTTTGATCTCTCCCACCTTTCTAATATTACTGTCTTTTCCACCACCACTACCAGTTCCAACTGGAGGTACAGAATCACGTGCACAGATTGGGAGCCAAGCACATCAAGGGAAAGACAGTAATATATCAGCGACACTCTCCTGAAACCCAACAGGGATATGTTATGGGAACAAAACAGCTGCTCTTTCCAGACTTGGTTGGGATGATGGTGACAAATCCAATGGAAATTAATAATGGCTCTCAGCTAGAAGCACCCTGCCACCATTGTATCTAATTGAGTGCCAAGAGCAGGTTCACAGTTCAGACAGAAATGTAAACACTGATGGTTGGACTGTCAAAAGTTAAAGTTCAGCAGCACAAGAGTATCCTGGGAGCAAGGCCTACCCTCAGTCCGTGGTCCACATCCGTCACACAGCCCTTCTCGTACAATTCCTGGGGGACATTGAGGATGCGCTTCTGGAAGTCGCCCTCTTGCCAATCCACCCGCAGACCTGAAATCCAAAACGATGTCAGTAAAGTCTCAAATCTGTGTGTATTATCTG